GTACAAATTATGAGTAACTGTATTCAGTCACAGTTAATGTTTAAGTGAGTGGTAATTAAATTACAGTTACTTGGTTGAAATAAATGGAGGTATTTTCCTGTTTTCACTTTTTTTCACATTTCACTTTTTTTTTTTGGAATTCCACTCATTGCCGGACACTAAACCAGGTCTAAACCAGGTCTAAACCCAGGTCCAAACCAGGTCTGAACCAGGTCTAAAACCTGGTCTAAACCTGGTCTAAAAACCAGGTCTAAAATCTGGTTTAAACCAAGATTAAACCAGGACTAAAACCAGGTCTAAACTACATCTTAAACAGGATTTAACAGGACTAAATCCTGCTGTGTGGACGTGTCTCCTCGTCTTCTATATAATATTTTTAATTTGGTTCAGTAAAGTCTGGACTTTTTTTCTTTTAGCAGACAAAACATCTTATGTTACGATATCCTCGTCTTTGCTTCTCTCCAGCAAACCAAGTAATCCAAAGTATTCAGATTACGTTACTCACTTTAAGTAACTTAATGGATTACATTACAAACTACATTTTGGGGTATGTAATCTGTAATCTGTAGGGGAATCCATTTTAAAAGTCACCTTCCCAACACTGTCTATGATCAGTCTGAAACCCATGGATAGTAGTAGAAGCAATAGTAACTAGAGTAATAAGCGTGATAGAAGTAGTATTCCAAGTACCTTTGGCGTAGTGGCTGAATTTGGCATGTGGAGAGAGACACATATCGTCTTCATCAGGAAATCGGTCACAGTCGAGAGCTTCAGGCCACGAGTGCCCCTGACAGGAGAGCGCCGGGGCACAGCTGTCCCTCACCGCCACACACAGGCTGCGGCACGGCTGGATGAACCTGCACAAGAAAATATATTCAAATTTAAACAAGGTAGGCAGTGAGCATTTCTATACTACGGTTAATGTATTTTACTACACTTCGAGCTGTTCACGAGATTCTGTGAACTGGACAACATTTTCGTTAGATTTTCTCAATTACCACTTGTGAAAATCTTTACAACGGCATGTTTTTATAATTATGTGTTGATCTGCTGAATTAAATACACAACACACTACACCTACAATCCTCAGTGTTCATCTCATACTTAATTTGATCACAACTTTTTAAATCCACTGTAAAAAAAAACCCTAAAAAACTTGTAAAAGCAAACATGGCACAAATGTACTTACGTGTCAAGGCAGACAGGAGCGATGAGCGAGCAGAGGAAGGCTTGGGCCTGTGGATGGCATCCTGTTTGCAGAAGAGGCCTCCAGTCTTCAGAACGAGGCACAACTTCACTCTCCAAATTACTGTGTCCCAGGAAATTGGGTAAACGCATCTCTGAGTACCCAACATCCTTACACACTTTCATCTGGTTTGGTATGGCAACGCAGCGAGTGGACTGTCCAAAATCGAAAGCCACGGCAGGGCAAAGCAAGGCGAAAAAGACAACCAGGATAGCCATATTAGTAGTAGTAGTAGTAGTAGTAGTAATGGTAGTAGTAGTGTCACTTGTAGCCAGTGCAGAACTTGACTGAATAAGTGGATATGGATGTGTCCTTTATATACAGGTTGCAAAGCCAGCCCAATCAGTCAGTGTGTCTGTTATCAAGTACCTATCAAAGACGCAGCACAGACGATGGATTGGAGACAATAGCTTGTTTTGGTAATGACTGGAGACACGGGGGGGGGTCACGCAGATGAGGTGAGGGGAGTGGGAGGGAGGGGGTCATGAGATGCATGAAGTTAAGCTACTGCATGGTTAGAGACAGTTAGGTCAAAAGTCAATATGAATTAATATACATGTCATGAATATTTGGTAGGTTGGCCAAAATGGGGATTTGGGCTAAAAAATGGCATTTATTGTTAGTGAAGGGTTTAGCCCAGGAGTGTCAAACTCAAATTCACAGAGGCCAAAATGAAAAACTGGGACTAAGTCGTAGGATAAACTAAATATTTACTGAAAGATTTCAACAACATCTGCATGTTTTCTCTTCTTTTGAAATATGTAAGGTTAAACCTTTTCTTATTAAAACAAATGTTTAATAACAGTTTTGCTTAAACATTAAGTATAATATAAAATAATATTTTAAATAAAAAATGTTTCGATAGCCTATCTGGAGCTTTTATTTATATATATTTTTTATCACAAACCAACAACTAGTCAAAATAATAACTTCAACTATGAACAGTCAAAAATCATGAATTAAACATATCTCCAAGCTCAGTTTGCTAAACTGTGATTTACTCTGATGCACATGGTTCCAGTGCAGATACAAATAGTTGAATACTCTCTTCTTAGATACAAGTTTATCAAAGTAGTAGTATTAGTAGTAGTAGTAGTATTAGTGGTGCATGAGCCATACTGGCGCAGCAGCCGGCGGGCCAGCACTCATACATCTTTGATATGAGCTCGCAGGCCAAATATAAATACACTGCAGGCCAAATTTGGCCACAGGGCCTGAGTTTGACGTGTTTGGTGTAGCCAATACAAGGTTTAAATGTGTATCTAGTGTTGATTTTAAAAAGCACATTCCATAAATAGTTGAGAGGGAAAAAAGTCTATAAAAAGATACAGTTAAAAGGTAAGACATAGGTCTCGTTGATATTTAGGTAAAAGTTTAATAAAATAGTGTTTGTCCAACTTGTCTAGGAACAAAATGTAAATTCTGTTCAAGTAGTGTTTAGAAGAAAATGGGAAAGGGGTAATACATGCACAAGGTAAGACTACCAGAAGTTAAGGTTATGGATGACTAATACATCATCTTATATTTAAAAATATTTAAAAAGTAAATCTTGTATCTAAGTATATCTAATTTAGTATATCTATATTTAGTAAGTATATCTAAAATATTTAAAAAGTACATAAAGTGTTTGGCTGAAACTGTAGATTTGTTTGTAGTTGTTAAATCAAAAGAATAGATGGATTAAGTGAGATGTTTAGATCAAAGCTGCTGAGGCAGGAGACAGGGCTTTGCTAATGAGAGCTGTCAATTAGAATCCAGGGACACTTGTAATCCAGCGATGGAGACTGCCAGTCTGTCTACACAACTCATGAACAAACGGAGTAACAAAAAAGTGCAATATTTTAGATTTAGACTGATAAAGACAAATCTAACTGTATATAGTTAGAACAATTTGTCGCTATAGATTTTGCACTTTTGTTTCTAAATAAAGAGCAGTTGTGGCTCAGTCTCAGTTCTAGTAAACTTCTGGTTAACTATAAAACCTTTTGTTTTATTACCCATTAGTTTTTCAATGCACATATAGAGGGTACTTCAAATAAGACATTATCTAGTGTTTCTTTCATACCCAGTTTTGTGGTGTACTAGATTTGATTTAATTAGGATACTTCTCCATTTTTTAATGACCACAGTTATTCCTGACACATTTATAGAAACCAGCAGTGCTCAAATTAAAGTTCAAAACATCTTTTCTGTTTCTATGTTTTCTTAGCATTTGGGCAGTGATGCAGATTGTAGATCTGCTCCAGATGATCTTCAAAGCTGCAGACCAGTGCAGCAGACTGCTCTGTTAGTTCCCCGTTTGTCCCAAAACATCAAGTCTCTGAAGTAACAAAAGAGCCACATTAGAGCCCCATCTCATTTGTCTGTCTCCTTGTAGAGATGTGTATCTGGATTAAACGCCTGGGGGTCTTTCAGGACTTTCTCCCATGGACAAGGTGCCTCTCCTGGACTGGAGACTGGGGTCTGGGGTCTGGCCTCTGCATCGCTCCCGTCTGCAGCCTCCTCCAGCTAACACAAACTTTCACAGCCTGGTCTGATGCCTCTTATTCAGGTAGACGAGTGCAGACCATCAGAGGGGACTAACTGGGCAATTAGACTCACACACCAATTTGGGAGAACAATGGGCCCCGACATTTAACACAGGGCCCCTGCCAGGAGCTCAGCGGGGGACTGTTGTTCGGGCTAATGGCTCAAGAGTAGACACCAAGTCTGTCCTCCTGAGTGTGGCCTGCCTCCACTTCAAGTGAATACAGCACGTAGGTTAGACACCTGACAAGACTTGGATGGTAAAGTGACTAAAATATAATTAGAAAAAACATTTTATAGAGAAAAACTTTGAAAGAAATTATAACAAAAATAATTGGAAGACTTGATTAGGTGTCAACTAGATGGGAAAAAAAACCCAAAACGTCCTGATTCCTTCCTCCTTCTACCTTCATGTGTACTTAATCAGTCTGTATGTTTACAGTAGAATATTATTTGCTTTATTTTTAGATGATTAAAAATAGTGAGGTTGCAGAACAAAGGAGGTAAACTGAAGGGTTTGGAGAAGGAGGAGAAGGTCAAATGAATGAAATAGAAAAGCAATAGAATCATCTCAACTTCTTAAAACATATATATTATATATATATATATACATATATGTGTGTGTATATATATATATATATATATATATATAATATATTAAATCCAAATGTGATTGATTATAGCTTCCCGAGGCTGAATCAAATCACCTGACTGATACTTCAAAGTGAAGAGAGACCTGGAGGGGCCTGGCTGTCTGTAGCATCCTGCACTGAAGACTGTCTGCTGCCTGCATACGACAGGAGCCTGAGCCCATTTGCCTGCCTCCCCCTCCTCTCCATCTCTCTGGTGTCCCTCTTCCTGGGGGGCTCCACTGGGACTGACAGGCCCTGTGCAGACTGACAGTAGCACTCAATTGTCACATCCAGTCTCCGCCAGGGCTGAGGCTGAAGCAGACGCAGCCACACCGAGGTGCACAGACACAAGGACATCACACATTTGTGGAGCAAAAAGAAGAATAAAACTGAATCCAAGTAGCATCAAATATACCAGCACTAAATGATAGACGACCATTACAAAAAGAGGGCAAGATCAGTTCTGAAACTGATAACTCAAACCAGGATCATAACAGCTTCCAGGACTGCAGGGTTGGAGCACACTGACAGCAAACTACAAATAATTGTTAAAAAGTTGTTGATAAGTAGGGTAGGCAAAAAAGAACAAGTAAAGTGCCTTGTGCAACACTCCAACATTTATTTTTGAAAAGTAGAATATTTGTAGAAACAATATGAACATGTAAACAAATTGCAGACAAGAATCTGCTGCGAGATGTCACCCTCTCATGAACTTAGAGCTTCTGTAACTCTGTCAGAGGTAAAAGGAAATCATTTTTAAATGGCATTTGTAATGTGTAAACATTTAATATATGAATGAATGAAATTGTGTAGAACGTAACACATACATTGGAGTATCTTTGAGGGAGGGAGGAGGATCACAGCCAAGATAAGCTCCATTGATGAAACTGTACTCCAGAAGGCACCTAAAGCAAGGATCCTAGAAATAAAAATATGTTCTATCTTAAATCATTTTAACATCTGAATATGAACAGTGTTGGGGAGTAACAGATTACATGTACCGGAGTTAAGTAATCAGAGTACAAATTATGAGTAACTGTATTTGGTTACAGTTACTGTTTCAATGAGTGGTAATTAGTTACAGTTACTTGGTTGAAAGAAATGGATTACACGGCGGTATTTTCCTGTTTTCACATTTTGGGCTTTTTTTTTTTTTTTTTTGGTAATTCCACTCATTGCCGGACAGTAAACCAGGACTAAACCAGGTCTAAATGTGGTCTAAATGTGGTCTAAACCAGGTCTAAACCAGGACTAAACCAGGATTAAACCAGGTCTAAACCAGGTCAAAACGTGGTCTAAACCAGGTCTAAAACCAGGTCCAAACCAGGTCTAAACCAAGTCTCAAACCAGGTCTAAACCAGGTCTAAAACCAGGTCTAAACTATGTCTCAAACAGGATTTAACAGGACTAAATCATGCTGCACGGACGTGTCTCTTTTATATAATATTTTTAATTTGGTTCAGTAAAGTCTGGGCTTTTTATTTTCTTTTAACAGACAAAACATCTTATGTGAAGATTTCCTCATCTTTGCTTCTCAACAGCAAATCAAGTAATCCAAAGTATTCAGATTACATTACTCACTTTAAGTAATTTAATGGATTACGTTACAAACTACATTTTGGTGTATGTAATCTGTAATCTGTAGGGGAATACATTTTAAAATGAATTATGCAAGATTTAGATGAAAGAAAAAGCTAAATCTGCAAACTAAAAAAATGCCTTAGTGAGTAACAAGTCAAAATCTACAATGAAAAATTCTAAATTCTAACAATATAAAAAAATATATATATACATTGAGGATTGTAGTTTTTTTTTTTTTTTTTGTAGTACAACAGAAGATAAAGCATGTTTTACAGATAGGGAGCGTATTACTCACTTGAATAAGGATGTGGGGATTTCCAACGATGATGAGGAGAGCTTTAGACCGAGTGATGGCCACGTTGAAGCGTTTGGGATTGCTCAAAAAACCGAGAGAGCTTTGCAAGTCATCACTGGGCACAGATTCATTAGAACGCACCTGTTATCATAAAACAGTATATTCAACTCTTTCACAGAATTAAGAAAATACAGTTGTCAATAAATAAAATAATTAATCAAAGAGATATATTGTAATGGTTCATGATATTTTTGTGAGACTTTTAATAATACAATATCCTGACATTTTGGTTATTGTTACATCCCTAGTTAAGAAATTCAGTAATATTCAGTTTCGCTAGCATCAACTTAGTTAGATTAAATATTTCTATAATTGAACTTGGTAATACATGAACTTCAAGGAATAGGAATATGTGTTGTGATGGTACACACAGTGGAGAGGATGATGACCAGATACTCTCGTCCTTGAAACTCTTCCACTGAGCCGACCTTAATGTCCGACAGGCCGACCTTATTAAGCAGCAGACGGATCTTCTCACACTGAAAACCAATGGAGAAATACAAAAAGTTACCATCCCCTGTACCTACTCGCCTCACCAGGGAAGTACAAATGTACAAATTACGACACAGAAGGCAAGGACAAGTTCCATAGCAATTTCTAGGATTAGAGGCACAAGAAGACACATTTTACTAAGGGTAAGATAAAGCTGTCATCAAAAACCTGAAATAATTCCATATTTCCAGAATGGCATTTCCAGAATCTTCACATAACCATAAAACTGCCTGTGTGTTCTGACCTGTTTCCTGTAGGGGGCGATGATGCCGATATCTGAGGGGTTCACAGGTTCGTAGAGCTTCTTGGCGAGCTGGCAGCAGTAGAAGATCACCTGCACCACCTCTACAGGGTTAAACCAGGATGGGTTGTTTCCTTCCCTCATCTCTGTGCCCTGAGACAACACATAAAGAGACATGGGACATAATAATAATAGAACTTGCGTTAATAGTACAGAGCATTGATTCTCTAAAGTCCAGATTTAGTTCCATTAGGAACCTTGTTTAATTATAGATTATATATACACATGCCACAAGAAAAGGTAGGCTCCATGAGACTGTATGTGATTTTACATGACAAGATCTTTTGCCACAGCCGTCTACCCATTTCACGTAGAATGTACTTAGTCAACTAAAAACAATGAACAGCCATCAACAGAAAACATTTTGGTGACCCTGGTAGTATGTTCCAGGTGCTCCTTTTTTCATATACAATCTCCAAGTTGTATTTGGAGTGATTCTTGAATGTTTGAGCAATCTTTAATCGCTTATTTTCAAGATACCATATTGCCAAATCTCATTTTTCTTCTTCATCAGTGATATATGTAGGATTCTGCAGCGTCATCTAGTCATCTGATTGTAGTTGCCATCTTTGTTGTGACAACGTTTGCAGCAATGTCTACTCCCCCTGAGCACCACTGTTTTCTAATGGGGAAGTCAGTGAACTTATTTAAATTTTTTTTTAATTAAGTCATTTTAGTCAAATGCTGCAAATGATAACATAATGAGCCACAGGTGTCACAGGTTATAACTATGTAGCAGATACAAGCATAATATGTCAGCTTTAACCAACTTAACAGAAAGACATGAACCTCACCCTGACTCCGTGGAAGAGCAGAGGAAATCCTTTTTTGGGCAGAGCCTTCCACTGACAGAGGGACTCGACCACAGAGCGCGGCGCCTTCACACACAGCTCGCCATCATAGAACAGTCTGGAAGGCAGCATCAGCAGAGCCTCATGGGAGCGGTAGTTATAAACCAGTTTAGTCACCTGCAGAAGAAATGGAGATTTCATTTGCACTGAGGCTGAGGATTTTAGTTTTAGTATGGTTCTAAATTACAATAATTTAGATACGTGTGAGTCAAGCTTTTATACTCAAAAACGTTGGCGAATGCACCCTTTTTGCTTGTATGCTGATAGGCCCTTAATGCTGCTGCTAAAACGGTTCCTGTTTTTGTCTTGAATCTGTATGGCCACAAAACTTACACAGAAATATACGCAATTTTCTAGTTAAAATATGCTATTTTTGTCTACCCCAGAGAGTAACTGCAGGACTTAACAGACATAGACACCAACTGAACAAAAGCTCCTAAATCTGACATGGTAAATAAAGTAATCAAACCAAAAGCCCAGCCCAGTGGAAAATATACTCCATCACATTGTTTTAAAGAGACAGCACTATTTCTGTGTGTTTACTTAAGTATGCACTGCACTCACCAGTCTGGGGTTGTATCCCAACTCATCTTGGGAGTACAGGGGGTTGGCCATGAGCCTCTCCACCAGAGAAACACCCAGACCAAATGTAGTCGCCATTTTAGATTTGACAATCGGACCCAACTGACGAGGGTCTCCAGCCAGCACTATCTGCACAACACAGTGAGAGAAACCACCACTTAACCAGCTAAGAGTTCAATGCCAATGTGCATTTGGAATAGTTATCTACATGAAAACGTATAGTAGATATAGTAAAAACAAGAGTATTTTGTTACAAGTACATGCACCAGATTATTTGCTAAGGAAGGACACTTTGATTTGTGATTCATTTTATGGGGCATGTTCTTCCATTCTTCCTACTGATCTGCACAGGCGACAGACATAAACACTTAAAGTAAAGCTTAACATATTCACCTGTCCATCCTTCTCAGAAACAAGGCTTATGGGGATCAGGGCTTCTGGCTCCATGGCTTGACCAGCTTCATCTAGAAAAACGTGGGTAAAATGGCCAACTCTGCATGGAAATAAAACTCTAATGAAAATCTAATCAAAAGTTACATTTTTATATAAAACATATCTGAAACACAAATCATGATTTCATGATCACCCCTTGATTAATGAATTTATGAAAAAGAAATTATATATATCAACAGAAAAACAATTGAACTTTCAGAACCGGAATTTCCAATCACTGTTCAGCCCAAACTTACTGCAGTCCGACATTGGGGAACATGCCAGCGCTAGAGCAGGTGCTGACCACAATCCTGTGAAAGGAGGCGTGTCTGATGTCCTCTCCGGCTCGGGAGTAGACCCTCAGGACATCTGGGATAGACTGATCAAATACACACACAGGATGGACAACACAAATAAACAGAAAATCACCTTTGATTAATAGTTATACTAAGTATTAACAAACCACTGCATTACCAAGGCCTACACAAAAATCCATCTTGATTATTTAGATCAGGGGTGTCAAACATACATACAAACATAATTCAAATATTTTAGAAGAAAATCAGCCGAGGGCCAGATTAAAGGTCTTGGAGGGCCGGATCTGGCCCTCGGCTGATTTTCTTCTAAAATATTTAAATTATATTTTCTATTAAAATATTGGTAATTTTCTGCGGTGCTTAGCACAGCAGTGTCTCCAGCGTCTCTGTACGTGGCCCCTCCCACCAGAGCAGCACAAATGAAGATTTGTCTCTTTCCAAACGCTCTTAAAGGACGATCGTTTTGACTGTTGACCGTGACACCCTCATCAGAAAAATGTTCAAAATGAGAAAAGTGGAGCCGAGTGCAGGATTTTCCAAGAAAAATTGACTTATTCCTATTGACATACAAGTTCATGTTAAAACATTGTGTTGAAATAGCATTTTTCTTAAAGTTTCAGGTTGTTCATAATATTATAATATTTTGTAAAAGAAAGAGTTCATCAATTAAAAAAGATTCCTGTAATAGATTTGTGTTTCTCTGCACAGATATTTGAACTTACTGTTATTTTTGGGGGATATATGTCATGAGTTTTCTGATCTGGCCGATCTGGGATCAAATTAGGTTGGATACGGCCCCCAGACCAAAATTAGTTTGACACCTCTGATTTAGAAGATAAAAGAAGCAGAACTCTTTAGTGCGAAGAGGGTACTGCAAAAATGTGACTACACTGCTCTCGTTCAGTTCAAAGTAAAACATACTTGTAAAAGACTGTGTACATATACTGTATTTTTCAGACTACAAGTCTAAGTTTTTTTCATGATTTGGCTGGTTTTCACACTGAAGCGGTGAGAGGTTCTAGTCTTGTGTGTGAGTATCTGCTGCTCCTGTTCCTCCTGTACCACTGTCACTTCACTCTACTGCACATGTCTCCTGCAGAAAGAGCCTCTGTCCTGTCTGTTTCCTGTCAGTCGATCGCTCCATTACTTCTGTACCACTAAAAATTTTACATTCAAACATATGCAACTGAAAATGGTAAATGAGCAGCAGAAAGAAACTTGGGTTTCTTTTCCTGGAAGTCACTGGATAGACTGACAAAGCCTGGACTTCAGTGATAACCAAAACCATCCTGAGTTGCTCAGAAGTGACACTGAGGATGAAGAATTGAATAGATATAGTGATTTGGAGTGAGATGGAGAGTTTGGCAAACTTGTTCTGTTCTGTTGTTTATGCTATAGTTTATCTGAAGAACTGTTCATATGTGACGTTAACAGTCTGTTGTTCTCTCTTCTGTTGTTATTACTACAACTTGACTTTCAAGATGAAAGGTCGGTTCCTGGTCTCTGATTTTATAAAATAAATTTGCCACCAGAAAGTGTGACGTATAGTCCGGCGTGACTTTATATGTTTTTTTCTTCTTCATTACACATTTTTTGGCTGGTGTGACTTATACTATATGGCTTATAGTCTGAAAAATATGTTAATCATGTATTGTTTCTCTGGATTCTAAACAGTTGCCATCAGCCATGAAAAAAAAAACCTATTGGTCAAATCTGTCTGTTTGACCAATTTTCTTTATGTTTGGCTTTGAAATTAGTTTGTGATTGATTATACAGCAATTCCATGTGTGATAGGGCGACAGTAGCTCAGTTGGTGGAGCATTCGCCCACTGTTCTAAAGGTTGGCGGTTCGAATCCAGCTCTCAACATAAACATCACAGGTTGAGTGGTCAGATCCACTGACCCACAGGTTGGCTGGTGTGATTCCAGCTCCCACAGATGAATGCTGTCCTTGGGCAAGACACTTAACCCACCTTGCCCACAGTGTCTGCGTACACTGGTGTGTGAATGTGTGTGTGAATGGGTGAGTGGTTCCTTGTTGTAAAGCGCTTTGAGTGCCTTGAAGGTGGAAAAGCGCTATAGAAAAATGTGACCATTTACCATAAATATTGGTGTCTATTTTCACTATTGATCGTACAGTAATAGCACCAAGCTGGATAATAATATCCCATCTGAATTTTTTAATGGTTGTTTTTTCTGTAATGGAAAATGTCCTCCTTTGTGCAACATCGAGTACATCACCACAACATGATCTATTATTTATAAGAACAGCTCAGAACAGGACTGCCCCTCCATCTGCCCCTCACAGCTGCACAGCCGTAAACCACACACACGCTCCTTTTGATCCTAATACATGAGGTGCAGCAGTTTAGTGGATTTTTCCAGGTGAGCTGCACTACCTCCTCTTGCCTGCAGGTAGCGTTGACACGGGCCAAACTGGCAGAATCCAGGAAGCCGCTGTGGTGCAGTCTGATACAGATGAGGTCAGCTGCGCTGTTGGAGGGAGTACACACCAGCAGGCGGCTACTGGGCACGAAATGGTACACCTGAAAACAAAGACATAATGTGGGATCTGAGTTTAATGGTGCACTTTGTAACTTTTCTGGTGGGGAATCTGCAATCTGTTAACTCCATGGAGATTTTATTGTTTTACCAGGAATTTTCCACAGTATGGCATTAAATGGTAAAAAGTGATGGGACAATGCAAGGCAGAAACACTTCTATACTATACAGTAGTATAGAACATTCCAGGAACAGAAATAAAATCTCAGTTTAGACAAGCAAGTGGTGGAACTCCACCTGAAATGTTACATAGTGCACCTTTCTGTTGCCACTGAGCACTTTCGTCCTGTAAATACACTGCATACTCTCTTATATTATTTAATTATCAACATGGATCAGGACTCACAGATACAAACACAGGCGGTGCAGAAAGCGCCGTTGTCTGCATGATTAACATGAAGTTGCAGTGCTAACTAGCAATATTGTCAGTCTGATAATCCCTCTATACCCACCTGCAGTATGGCCTCTATCAGAGTGATGGTTTTTCCTGTGCCTGGGGGTCCAAAGAGGATATATGGAGTGGGCCGACACTCTCCTGACAGAATCCTCTTCACTGCCTCCCTCTGTGCTGTGTTCAAGTCCGGATTAAAAAAACGACCTTCACAAGGAACACGTTTGGAAGGCGGGGAACTATCTGCAAGAAAACACTGGATAGTAATTATGATGTTTTAAAATGTGTGCTTCTGAATAGCTGCTCTTTTACTTATGTCTCTTTAATCTCCAAGTATGTCTGTACTCATTGATGTATATCTTACACAAACACGTGCATTTAGTACTGTAATGTTGGGTTTTTTGATAACTATCCATCACATTCTTTGTATAATTATTTTTGTGCTTTATTAGTAAAACGCAAGTAAAAAAAATATGTTTCTGCTTTTTAAACCTGTGGGGAATCTTTACTAATCAACATTATTTATACAGCACGTTTCCTACAAAAATGCACAAATTGCTTCACAGAAAAATAATGAATAACAAAAAACAGTTACAATAAACCTAGTTTAACAGAATGGAGGAATACAAATACCTTTAGTCTGTGTTGCCTTTGATTTCATGTCAATAGAAATACTTGAAATCTTTCCATTTTCCATGACTTGAGCCTGAAATCACAAATTAAACCTATGTATAATACCAATACTGAAAGATCGTTTTATTGCTTGTCACCTCATTGTCCTCCTCTTTCTCTGTTTCCAATTCGTCCAACCACTTTCCCGTCCACTGAGGAGCTTGGACAGTTACTCTGGTTGGAAAGAGGACTGCAAAAAAAAAAAAAAAACAACAACAAAAAAGAAACCAAAATAATATAATATTTACAAAATTCATCATTAAGCTTCTTAAAAACCTTACTTTCTGCAAATGGTTTGACCTGATCCAGAGCATGGTGACACCGTCTTGAGGTCAATCTAAAAATAATGGTCATTATAAAGATGCACTATGTAACTTTTCTGGGAGAGTCTGCCACCTGCTTGTCTCCAAGCTTTGCCTGGTTTGTTATTGCAAAGCAATAACATTTTAGTCAATCAAGTGGTAGAATACCCTCCAGAAAGTAAGTATAATGCAAATGTAGAAAGCCAATTTAATCAAGTTATGCTTAATTATAAAAATATAAATTCTTTGTTATTAATTGTTTTTAACACACCTATTGTAGGAAAACTCTACATCTAAAGGCTCTCCAAGGTAACTGCGTTGAAATTCAAAGTTCACTCTTAAACCCACATCGTCACCATTAATCTGAGAGAAAAAGAGACATTTCATTTAAAGAAGTGTTAAATTAATCTTACATTTTGATGACACTTGATATGTGTAAATATATTTATGCAATTAAGTGAAAATAAAATCAACAATCAACAACATCAATGTCTTAATACTGTGAGTTTGTTTCACATCCTTATTAAAGGTTGTATGGAGGATTTTTTTTTGTTTCAAGTTGTCAATGATAGCATTATAGAGGTGCAGTAGCCTTGTAATTATGATGACCAAAAAAAAGAGAATAAAAATTCATCAACTCTGGACGTGGTGGGGCTAAACATTTGCCAATAGATAACGACACTGCCTCGTTATCTGTTAGCTGACAGGCTGTCAATCAAACTCCCTACGTTTCTAGCGTAACTGACTTGCCTGCGCCGCCGGTACGTGGTTTACGTACGACTGTCACGCAGTCCACAGACGCAAGACGCACAGACGCTGTTTACTCCACCAACGCAACAGTTCTTAGCAGCTTTTTTTGACCTATATCTTCCTCGCACTTAGCACAAAGTTTGTTGCAATGGCGACAAGAATCCAGGATCAGTTAGCCACAAAAGAAAGTCCGTTTTTGAGGTCGCTGAAAGAAGAAGACAAGGGGAAAAGCAGCGAAGCCAAACTAAGGTGATTCTTGAAGATTCATTCCAGCGATGGCGCGAGGGTCTAAAGACTGACGCATTGGTCGCCAAATTACTCCTGGACAGGTCACTTCTGCTTATTATGAAAACGTACTTTATTTCCAAGAGCTAGACAAACGTTTTTCAGGACACGAATGTGATATCCTATGTCTGAAAACGTAATTTTCAAGGCAAAGAAAGAGTCCGCTTGCTGCTGCGTGTTGTAGCTAGTTCATTCGCACGGAATCTCCGCGCAACCTTCTCTGCACCCCTTTCCTGCTCCTCTCCCCGCTGCCCGATCCGCTCTTCCCCCTGCTCCTCACTTCTCCGGGCACGGAATCTCCGCGCACCGCTCCCCTCTCCTCTCTCCTCTCTCCTCTCCTCTCTCCCTGCTCCGCTCTTCTCCCTGCTCCTCACTTCTCGTCCGTGCACGAAATGTCCGCACACCCGCTCCCCCTCCCCCCGCTCCTCACTTCTCCGTCTTGCCTAACCAACACTGTAGTTAGTTGTTTACAAGTCATGTGCAGCACCGGCTGTAAACAAACCTGTTTCTGGCATAAAGAAGAGGCGGGAGGAGGCGTTTCTACGTAGGGAGCTGTAGGGGAGGGGGGGGGGGTTTCACGCATGCGCAACATTTGAAAAAGGACAAACAGTCGCTGGATTTCTCGTTCCTTGGAAAATCCTCTATACAACCTTTAAGGGCATTAATGAACTAAATATTATGATCAAGCCTTGTACCTCTGCAACATAACTGATAATCTCCATCACCTTGCCCCCGCTGACAGGTTTCTTTAGAACTACTTTGTCACCTGCAAAAAATAAAATAAAATAAATAAAATAGAACTTAAAAGCCAGTTTAGTAAGACTTTTTTTTTTTAAACTGAAACACAGAGAATGAAATTTTCAGTCTCAGTCCCAAATCAGATCAAATACACAGCATCAAAGGACGACATCTTGACCTGCTCCATATTGGAGCAATGCACTACAATTTATATATTCTGGTTTAATAAAAGTGATCCATTTAATTTAGCAGGGCATTTTTGTCAACTAAAAATAGGCAAAAAAATTTAAGTTCAGTTTACGAAAAGACTACGGCTAAAACTAAATAAAATGTCTTAAATTTGACACATGTCCCTCACCTATATTGAGGCTGGGTCGGCCCTCAGTCAGCCCCAGTACCTGTAAGTACAGGTAGGTGGAGCCCTTTTTGAGGAGAGCTCCGTTTATGCTGAACTCCTGTATCTCCTGTTCTGCCTGAAGCTCCTCCAGCCACAGGAGTGTGGAAAAGCGAGCGTGCATGTTAGACGCAGACAGCACCTGGTACATGTAAACAGAATATCAGTACAGCCAACGAAACAGCAGTAGAAATACTGTGTAATAGGTGGTGGTTTTAGGGACTTTTTGACTTCTGCTTAGAATACAATTGGCAACTCTAACTCCAACTAAGCCTGGGTTATTTGTCCCGAGACTGGTTTACTTTGTTGTTCTATAAAAGAAGCTAAACTTGGTCAGTCACTGTGGGAACACCATGCTGGAGCTGAGCCAGGACTGAGGAATGGTCTAAACTTAAATTCACAAGTTTATTTCTAGTTGAATATCAGCCTGGCTTTTCCAAGCTATTTGGCACCAACTTCCCACCGGTTAAATCCTAGTATAGTTCTTGTTTGTTAGCTTAACATGGGTGAGTGGGTAGGTACTTTATTTATCCTGAAGGAAATTCATTTTTCAACAATGATTAAAAAAAAAAAGTTATATTTAATATATAATATGCAAAAGTTGAAATAAAAAAAATTAATTGGATATTTTGTATTTGTCGTATTTTTTTCTTTTTACAAATGACAAATCTCATTAATGTCTTGTGTTCTCTCACTTCCCCCAGACTGGGCTGTACCACCAGCACATCGCTCTGCCCCTCCACACAGTCTTTAAGAGCCTGAGGCACTGGGAAGTTTGGGAGAAAGATCGGCAAACGCCTTCTGGTGAATCTACGTTAGAGAAACAAATGAAATATTTTAGACGACAGATACAGATAAGTTATGCACCTTGTAAGGCCTCAAAAATATAGTTTTTAATAGATTAAGAGAAACTACAAGTGTCCACCTATATATAAATGGGGCTTCAGTCAAAAGTGCTAATCTTTATTTACATACCTTAAGGTTTATTTATAATTTATCACCAAAAATAGCTGCTTGTTAGAATTTATGTTCTGAAATAGCATATCAAAAATAAAAAATAAAAATTCAGGCCCCTACCCTCTATCTGAAATCAGGTAGTCAATCATGTAAAAACTATTTGATTCTAATGATATATTGGCCTCTTGGTTTGGATATGAATACATGAGTTGTGTTACTTCGGAGGGTCTTTGGGAGTATTGACAGTGATCACATGGTCATAGACGGGAGCAGAGGAAGCTCTTCGGTCCAGAGGAACATAAGGGACAGCAGGCTTCAGTAGAGCCTCATCCTCAGAGCCTACTGTGACATCCAGGCGCCTCCCAATGGTGAAGGAAGAGAAGTGCAACAGCAACAGCTCAGCACAACAACCCAAGATCCTGACAAAATAACACACGCAACTTACAGAAACAAAAACAATTTAAAAAAAAATTCAGTTTGGGGACTGAAGCACATCTTAAATAAGTTAAACAAAAAGATAAAATTCAGAAATTTAAATGGTTATACAGGTAATTAACTACCATTTACTACTTTGATACTGTGATAATACTTTGAACATAGACTTTTTATGTATTTATCTTTTGGCTACATTAATAGCAAAGATTTTAGGGCATTAATTATACAAACAATCATAAGATAAAAATACATTTGGGAATTGTTCATTGAATTTTAAAAGAAACTAACTGACCAAAAAACTTGTTAGTCAATAAAATATTAGCAGTTACTTACAATAAAATAAAAAAAAAAGAAAGATTTTAAGTAATAATCATAGTTTAAACTGGAAAGCTTGAGCTATCTGAAAATGATTTGTTCTAGCAGCATGATTTGTCAGCCCAAAATGAAAAATGCACTCTGTTTCCTGATGGAATAATCAAGTTAGTTACATCTTTTAAAAATAGTTTGAAATGTCCACAAACATCCAAATTCTACATATCTCATATTAAGACATACTTACTTTGCGTCACAGGCCACAATGATGGGCAGCTTCTCTCCAGGTGGGATCTCCACCTCTCTCTCCCCTCGTCTCAAACCCACCAGAAGCTCCTTTGAATCTTCTCTATTTTCTTTTTCTCCTTCTTTTGTGGTACTACTTTCTTCTGCGGAGGTATCGGGGGGAGCTTTGTTTGGATCTTGCAAAGGTGTTTTTTGTTGCACTAATTTGGACCCGTTGAGGCTGACCAGAGAGAACTGTTTTTCTGAGTCCCAGTCGGCAAACTCACAGCATTTCAGCGTCTGGGTCTCAAGACCTTTATTTCTGTGTAAAAGCATTAGATAACATGGTTAATATTAGCACTGAATCATTTGGGAAAAAACTATTTAATTGTAAGTTTACTGACAACCATTGTGACTGTGATTAGATTTGCAATTTATGTTTTAATTATAGCATTCTGTTTGGAGTTCACATTTTAAAACATGCACAGGACTGACAAAAAGACTAATGTAAACTGACAAACAAATACAAAAATTACATTTCAAAACATGTTTGGACAGACCTCAACTACAGGGTTAGCTTTTTTTTTTACACCATGGCACAGATTAGTGTGTGTTTGTGTGTAGAAAATGGCCTTTGCAACTTGTCAGTTGTGTCTATTAAGATTGCACTTTCAGTCTTACTGCTTAATCTTGTAGTCGTAGTTAACAAATACTAACTAGAGCTACACAATATATTGAGTATCAGAGTTGGTACATTTATCCAGTCACAAAGCCTGCAACTAACAACAGAATATCCTCTGCAAAGAACAAAATATCCTGTCTTTGTATGCAAACCTTGTTGTACCTGTAGTTTAGAGCTCTACATGTCCTGAAATGCAAAGGAATCTTGCATTAATTTATCAGTTCATAGTTCAGTCTTTTCTCAAATGTTAGACTCAATGCTCTGATGACGACAGTAGCACAGTGGTGTGCATGAGCGATCAGTGGTGGTCAGAGAGGCCGAGTGCGTGTCATTCTGCCCCAGGGCAGCTATGACTACAACAGTAGCTTACTACCATTGAGTGTGGAGTGAATGAATAATGACTACAGAGTAGTGCTTTGAGGAAAAGTCTTAATCTGACAAGAATGGGATATCGACAGCTATATAATGTATTTAGTAGTTTGAGAAACACCAACCTAAATTGTTGTTTTCAGTTAATGCTGTGTCAGATACTTACTGAATCCAAATGACCATATTTCTTTGCTCCCCCATCATCAAATCCCCAAAGTTTCCATAAGTCGACACTTCTAGTCCTCCTTTGTTTCCCAAAAGGACCATGAGGTCGGCTTCAGAGTATGGCACTACTGCAGACTTCTCACTGAAAGTGCAACAGTCAGAAGATGGAAGAAATGGTCTTGACTATTTCATTTAAATAAAAATATGGTATAGTTGTCTCTTAAGAGGTTATGGGTTTTCATACAGTTTTTTTTTTTTTTACTATGGCCCATGAGTTTGAAAGAAAGCATATTACAACATCAGTGTATCACAAAAACAATATAAATGTAGAGCAAAAATAACAAACAAAAACATATTGAAATTATAAGGGAAACCTAAGCGCAACATTTAAAATAAGATTTTCAGTCATCAAAAAATATAAAAAAAATAAAAGAGATTAAATAAAAAGAGATGAAATAAAGTCTTAGTCCTAGTCTGAGTAAACTGGATATTAATACATGCAGTAACAGTATCCAAGTGATTTAAAACATACAGAAGTTATATATCAAAATGTACTATACAGACCAAGATACAGACCAAAATCTAGGGATGTAAGTTAACTCAATTTTATATACACACCGTTTAACCCATATTATACAACTGTCAATCACCAATTGTCTTATTGAACAGTTTTAGCATGTCAGTGGTACAGTGTTCCATGTGGCATCAGATCAGGTATCCAGCACAATCATATCACGTTTACCACTTCTTGTGTCATGTTCCTACCTTGGTCCACAAGGGGCGATGCAGAGGGCTCTCCAGCTGTAGAAAGACTGAGTGCTTTCCACCATGACCAGGTTAACAAAGTCCCCTGGTGTGGGCTGGTAGTTTGCAGGAAGGAGCAGAGAATCCAGGCTAAAGAAAATGGTGTTCTCCACTACCCCATCATTAGCATACACACTCGTCACTTGAACCTGCAAATAAAAATATATATAACAAGAGCCATCCATCACATCAACATAAAAGGGTATGACTGTTTTGATTTGTCAAGTTTAATGCTATTATTAGATCATTTTGCATTTTATTTCTAGCTGTGTTGGGGGTGCAAAAAAAAGAAAACAAAAAACTAATAAAATCCATATTTAATTAAAAAAGGTAGTGAAAGTGACACTGTTAAAACAACAAAATAAACCACTAGAGATGTCAATAAACCTGCTTTTAAAATGTTTTGACACTAGAAATTACATTTTTTTTTGTCAACTGGAGGTTTTCAGATTTTAGAATGTGATGATGTCATAAGCCAAGATTGAGCAAAAGCCAGTTTTCCCTTTTAATTGCTTCACCATGAAATATCAACATATCAATATAAATAGAAAAATGCACAAATGTCAATTTTAGTGACGAGACCCCAGAACTCGCTGTATTACAACAAAAATCTGCATTTTAAGACTATTTATTTTAGGTCCATCCACATTCAATATTATTGGCCTATAGAATGTTGGGATGTCATCTGAAACCCAGCAGTTGCAGTGGGGGTCTGGTTGTTCTAGTTGTTCACGTGGTTATTTGGGAGGTTCAGGCAGTGTTTTCATTTGGAATGTTCCACAATATTACATTAATCTTATTCACATGGTAACATGCAGGTGAGGTCACAAGGTCAAGTTACAAGTACTGTCCTGTGGAACATTCCAGTGACAAAGAAGTCACAGACCTCCCACCAGAAACACTGCATCGTTTCTATGGAATGTGTAAAGTAAGAAAACAGAGTACAGTCTCTGCCACTGCTGACAACAGAATCACCCAAATTGCTTTAATAGCCACATTACCTTGTCCAAGCGTTTGTAGCGCAGAGGGGCCACAGACTGAGCCTGTGTGGTCCACTGACTCGGGTTAATGACGTATTTGGCTTGGACCCAGTCTCCCTTCATCGGCTCATACCCTCCAGACGAGAAGAAAAACACCAATGACAAGTAAGTCAGACGAATGTCAAAGAAACAAGCAAATAAGAGGAGTGTCCAATAAATCATCATTCTATATCTTTTAGTCCAGCCATTCTTAACCATAGGGCCGGGGCCCAAAGTAGGGCTTGGACCACCTCCTTGGGGGCCCAACAATCAGTACAATATAATGCATCTAATATGAGATAGGGCCCCAGGTTACTTTGTTCAGAAAAAGTAGGGCCCCAAGACTGAAAAGGTTAAGAAGCCCAGTCTACTGAAGAGGCAAAAGGCTGCTGTCAGTGGATGACTGGGCTCAAATTATGAGGTTAAACACATATTTAATAATAAAACATTTTATTTATCATCACCTTTGTAGGCAATCAAGGAGGACAATTTACCAACGATTATAAAGACACAAACATACAATTGGCAACAGTAAACTACTATTATTATTCATTAATTAAATTAATTAATCGTAGATAAATAAATGAAATTCATTGAATGAATGAATCATTGGATTTCTATAGCGCATTCCAAAACACCCAGACTGCTTTACAGTGCAAAACTCATTAACTTCACACTAGGTGGTAAGTCCACAGCAGCCCTGTGATAGACTGATGGAACTGAGGCTGTCTATTTGCTCCATCAGCCCCTCCGATCACAACTAATACTCATGCACACAGCATTTTCATACTAGGCAATGTGGGTTAAGTGTAATGCTTAGGGATACAACAACAGTTTTTGCCACTTGTGTCCCACTGTGTCGCCTGGTATTCCCACAGGTCTCCCAAGTTCTAACCAGCCCCAGCATTACTTGGTTTCTGAGATCTGAGGAGATCAGGCTTTGACAAGCAGGTATAGCCAACGCACTGTCCATAAAATCTTATAACTATAATATAGGTCAAGAGCATTGAAGAACTATTCAGGAAAGGTCTCATTTTGCCCCGTGTTTGTGATTCTTTTCAGTAATGATCCTTATTTAAATTATACTTTTCATACTTTTAATATAAATTAGTATCTGGTTGGTAGTATTGATTCTTTTTTCCAATTAAAACTAACATTTAAGTAAACACAACTAATTATAATAAGCATGGATGTTAAACTAAGAAAGTTAGGCATGAACCAGTGTGCATGGAGACAGACATCATATATACTCAACATATAGGTCAGGTTTGGTGCATTCACGTAATTGTATGTTATATCATGCCGTGGCTACCTTCCCAGAGACTGTGGCGTGAGAAGTAGGTGTTCTGGTTTATGTAGCCTCTTTCTCCATCGTACGACGTGACAGTGCCAATGAGCGGTCGGAGCTGCATCGTGTCCGCCTCCAGAGAGCTCTTCCCCCCGTCCTCCCAGGCATCTGCAAACTTCTCCACCTGAACATCACAGATTCCATTTACTATCACTTTTCTATAGAGCTCAGGTTTCACACCTCAGTTAGCCTAATGTTCAATAAATAAAGATTTTAAAAAGCTAAAGACTAACCTCAGCATTCATACAAAGGTAAAAGTAAGACACTAGTCTGATAAATGTATTCACCAGTAATAACCGAGCGACATATGAGGTTGTTCCACAGCTCTTTTGTTTATTTTTATCTCTATGGAGGCAAAACTGAATTAAACACATTATAATGTCAAACGGGCTGATGTGGCTCTAGAGTGGTTACGGTTTATATGTCGTAAAGTTGAATTTATTTATGCAGATTAGTAGTGCAGATAGTAATAATAATGATGATCATTTTAATATAAAAACATTAATGATTAATCGATAATCAATCATTAATTCTTCTAACGATCGATTAAGAAAATTGAATTGAATGCCCATCCCTAACCCTTAATGCTTTCCAGCCGCCTTGAGAACCATATCGGGCTGCCATACAGTTGACCACGTCTCCTTGTTTAAGACGTATTCCTCCCAGGACCTCGGCGTTGGTGAAGTAAATGGTATCATCGATCATGCCATAGTCCAGACACAGCTGAGTAACCACACTCTCTCTCAGGTGCCGAATCTCCTTCATATCTATAAACACAAGACAAATATTATTTTGTATTTTCACTGGAGTTTGAATTTAATTTAATAAATGAAAGATATAGAAGTTTAAAATCGTGACGCAGATAGAACATTCAACACATGTAGGGTGACCAAGCTTCCCCGTTTACCCAAAACAGTCCCAGTTTTGAGCTTGTGTCCCCTGTCCCAACAGATTTATACAAAACTAGTGATTTGTCCCAGTTTAATACAAGAAATATCTCAGGTGTCCCTATTTTGACCACTTTGTTAACCACACCAACAGTAAAGGGGGCATATATTGTCATTTATTTAGCTAAAATACAGAAAACTCAGGTTGAAAATGATCATAAGAAATAAAAAATGCACCATCAGAAGTCCCTCAAATTATGATTGACCCACAAAGTAAGTTAAGAATGCGATTAGTTACAGTTACACTCACTTTTCACAACTGTATTTATACAGTGTGTCTCAGTTTTGAATTTTGAAAATCTGGTTGTCCTAAATGCAGGGCAATAACATTTCATGAGAAATGTGCAGGTGACCCTCCATCAGAAAACTTACATAGTGTGTACATTTTTGTCTTTAATAAGTATCAGGACTAATAAAGCAACACTAGTATTTCATTTTCAAAACTACAAAAATTGACTGTTATGACATGTTAAAAAAAGTATCAAATATTAATTGTTGTCGCATAGTTTTATAATAAATCAATAATGGACTAAATAAAGAGGTGTTTAAGACTAGTTGAAAGTTGTCTTAGTTTCCAGACATGCTTCAATTACATTAGTGTAATTATTGACCTGTTGCGCCAGAGAAAATGTCTCCATCTCCCTCCGCTGATCTCCATAACGGGGACACGATCTTGCTGAATATATACCGCACCGCAGCGAACATCTCTGCACGTATGTCCACTTCGGTCCACTTCGGTCCACTTCTGTCCTCTGTCTCCGGGTCAAACTGTGACCACACACACATGAACTTCAGGCAAAAACACTGAAGAGTTAGCTTTACCGCTAAACTTTAACGTTACCTTAGAGATTCACCAGTGGTCACACGGTGCGATTATTTTCTGCGATTACTTTAGTGTTAGATGAACGAAACCTGCAGAGGTCTCATGATAAAATAGAAAATATGAATTTAAATGTCGGGGATATTGGATGACAAGAGCAAAGTGATGTTAATGCGGAGAGCACGTGTACAGAGCACATGGGCTCGCGCGAGGGTCACGCGGCTGTGTAAGGTCATGACGTCATTTAAGATTACGAAAACAAAAAACAAAACAAATATATATTTTTTGTAATAAAAAATTTAAATAAATAAAAATAAAATACAGTTTTAGTAATCCAATATAATATATTCTAGATAGGAAACTTTTTTTTGCTTTTAAAATACCTTGACAAGATTTTGGTGCAAATTATTTCTGTCAGAATCTGAAGTATTCAAGTAAAAAACATATTTCTTCATGTTGTCTGCGCTGAAATAAATCATGGGACACGTAGTTCCCTATGTTTATTAGCCGTTGCCTACTAAAAAACAATGTAGGCAGCCAGTTCTCAATATTATTGAGACTTTTGACAATACAACATCATATCACCTAATAATATATCGATATTCTGGGCTTTTTCAACGGGCTTACATTACTATTTCTAATATTTTAGATTTAACTAGTTTTAGTTTAGTTTGTTAACAGTTTTCTAAATTGTTTTGATTGCATATGAAGATGCATGGAGCTTTAAAACACAGTCAAGCTTATCCAGTATTACCACATGACATCACAAGGTGGGACAGAGTGTTGTCTGTTTGAGAGAAGCTCTCAGCCTGAATATGCAGGTTTGTGTGTTAAACATATAGGATATTAATATATCATATAGGACCTTTAAAAAGTGAAATTGAGGAAAAATTACAAGAGATATCCATGCCATTTTTTGCTGTGCAATTAGGGATTGTGGACCTGTGCAACATACAACTGGAATCTTGGTTCTATCAGGTTCTACACCAAAGTTACTAGCATTTTATTTTTATTTATTTATTTACTTTTTTATTGTTGCAAATGTGTTTTCAGCACCTGTTGAGCACATTTAGACGAACTATGCAATCCTGCCTAAAAGTGGCTGAATGTTAAAAGTAGATTGAGTGGAGCTTCTTGTGTTAAAATGACTTGATTTGAAGCATGGGCTCGCTGTAGAACACAGTGCTGTGGCCAGGACAGCCCCATGGCTTTTGATGCTTTTCCCTGCATTGCTCCTAAACTTAAAGGTACACTATGTAACTTTTTGGTTGGCGGTCCGTCACCTGCGTGTTTCTTTGAATATGTCATTGATCTGCCTGGAATGTTCCACAGTGTGACAGTAAACAGCTCTACTTACATTTATTCAATTACAGGTGGTTTTACAGGTCAAAAATACCTAGAAAAACAGACATTATGACCAAGTTACAAGTCAGATCTGTTAGGGGGTCGCCTCTCACAGATCAGGGGCCTCATTTATAAAGCTCGCTTACGCAAAAATCCATGCGTGCGCGCTTCCTACGCCAACCGCGGTATTTATAAAACTCGCCTAAGGCGTGGCTCTTTGCTTAACTCTACGCCAACTCGGGACCTCCTGTAAGTTCTACGCAAAGTCTGGAGACACGGGGAAAAAGCGACACTCGTGGAGAGAAGCAGAAGTGAACAGAGTTTGAGGAAGTGTTTGATCAGAAAATCCACGTATATAGAAGAATTACCTTCTGATTTGCGCATTTAAATGTTTGGTTCGCCAAAATACAGAGAAGGGCTGTTTATTTCATTCATTATTCTCCACAATATTATACATTTGACACTCGTGCACGAGTGCGGCCACGTTCCCGGACTCGGTGTAGTGCAGAGTCTCCCACAGTCCACACCGCGACCATAGACTTCTATAGAACACAGACTGTGACCAACACAGAGGACGAAATAATGACCCGACCTGAGAGAAAAACTCTTCCCTTGGACGCAGCAGGAGCCAGGTTTTGTTTTAATGAACGCAACTTTAACACTTTTACTTTAGTCTTTACGCACCGAGCGCCAGAGTGACCTGAGTCTGCGCATGACACAAAGCCTACTGCCCGAACCTGACCCCAACCAAAATCTTCCCTAAATTTTTGTGTAATGGGGAACTCTTGTACATGAGAGCTGCTCTCTGACTGTATGAAGAACAGAATAATGCCCGTGCCCGTCCCGACTCACACCCACACTCACAGGTTCAGCAGTTTGGATGTTTCGTGTGGACTTTAATTGGCAGAATAACATCTGTATCTGATGTGTTTCATGCTAAATCTGTGTCCTCGTATCCTCGTGTGTCTCCCTCGCTTTTTTCCCTCTCCAGGGGAGGGCATCTGAATCTCTCGCACGCGCTCATAATTTGCGCGTGCACGTATCTACGTGTATATGCATAAATACAGGGCCAGTCCTCACACACATCATAGACAGACTTAAAAATATAGCGATAAAACTCTTGAAACAGCGAAAAAACACATGGGCTTTACTGCAAAGATGTGCTGCCTAAATATTATAAAAAATGATTAAATGAACAGATGAGTCATTGTTGTCAGTTTTAGTTTTGTATTTATTTATTAAACAAGGTTTAATAAAGTCTTTAATAAAGTCTTTGTCGTGGTCACGTGGTGCTGCGTGGAGCGTCCTCCTCCCTCTGTCCCGCGTGTCTCGGTCAAACCCACTGATTATCGGCTCATGTTTAGGGAAATCTCTTTCACCAGTCATTTTACATGCTCCTTTTATGGTGAGGTGGAGGTGTGGAGAGGGCGTGATGTGACATAGGTTTACGTGCGCAAATTGTAGTTGCAGGTGGGATTTATAAAGCAAAGATTGCGTGGTTTGGTGCGTGCGGTGGGTTTTCTAAATATGGAGTTTGTGTGTCGCACGCCTGTTGTAGCTACTAGGCGTACGCGCTAACTTACGAAAACTCCTGCGTAGTTTTTATAAATGAGGCCCCTGATCAGTAACTTGGTCTGGTTTGGTCTCAGTGAAGATAGAAAGGTTTAATGCCATACTGTCAAACAGCGATGACAACTCCATGGAGACAAGCAGATGGCGGCCCCTCCACCAGAAAAGTTACACAATGCACCTTTAAAATCCTCCCCACAGCCAGGTGTTTGTAATCAGAAACACATTTTCTGACAAGAAAGAAAGGGGAAAAATGTCTTGGAATGCCAATGCTATTAAACACCATATACACAGTGAAGTGATCCACAATAAATCATGATTGTTTTAAAAACCCACTGTCATGTCTTCCCTAAAAATGTATTGTTACCCTACTTGTTCCTTGGGAATAAATAAAGTTACATTGATTGATTGATTGATTGATTGATTGATTGATTGATTAGAGTGTTATGTGTTCCAGGTTGGCTCTGGTAGCAGTTTGGACAGGCCCACAGCCGTCCCTCTGTACCCCGGCATGGAGGCAGTGGTGCTGGGCTTGAGTCAGACCTCGTGTCCCTGCAGCTGGTGCTTGGCTCTCTGGTCATACTGGAAGGTTCTGTCTGTGCTGTTTACTATTGTCAACTACATTGCCCTGTGCTTGTATGACCCTGGTGTGGCCAAACGGGCCCTTTACTGTTGGTGGGTTTTCTTCTTTTTAGGCTTGGTCTCTCCAGAGATCTGACTTGTAAATTGTCTTCATGGAGATTTTCTTACTTTGACTGTAACAACCTAAAGAATGGAGTAAAAACTGATCTATCTCCATGGAAGGGGTTACAAAGTTTGTTTCTCTTCTCTATTGATACTTTGCAGCTGACTTCATAACCCCTGGGGGTGTGGTGCTAACTGAAGGCACTACTCTGTTAGAAACTCTATTAGACCCTGAGCTTTATTTTAACATAACACTTGTATTGATCATTGGCTCCTGAAAAAGTGTTGTTTATATTTTTTCCAGCAGTCTTAAAATGTTTTTGAGTGTCTAATGTGCATGGCATTTCCATAGTAACTGCTGAGCATTGCACCATACAATCCAGGTAGAACACCCTCAGCTTGATTTATTTATTTATTTATTTATTTATTTGATTGGGACAGAGCATGTTAATGAACAAACATGACAACATGAATGTAAACACACCGGATTGTAGCCTAAGGCTAATTTCCATCTGTTGTCCCAAGGGCTGGGGTCACAGGGGGCCAGACACTAAAAAATTGCACACTCCACTCATTATATAGTTCCATTCATTGCACAGTTCCCATTCATTGCACACAGAAAAACAATTAAAATCACAGTGCAGTTATACATGTGTACATGTTTGATTTGACCATAACCAAGTTTTTGTTTGAGCTTTAAAAGAGCTGTATGTGGGGCTTTCTTTCAGGGTCAGTGGAAGACTGTTCCACAGATTTCCACCTTGTACAGATAACACATTCTGACCAAAGGTGGTCCGTCTCTGGGGTATGACCAAGTCACCCCTGGTGGTGGCTCGCGTGGTTCTTATTGAAATGTCTTTACGTTTAATGTAATTATTTAATGGTGGTGGTGCCAGGGAGTGTAGAACCTTATAAATTAGACAAGTCCTTTTGAGTTTGACCATGTTGCTAAAATCCAGAAGCCTGTGCTTTTTCAGTATGTGACAGTGGTGGTGGGAAATGGGTTTTTTGTCAAGTATTTTTAGACCTCTTTTATAGAGGTTTTCAATGGTTTTATGTGTTGTGGGGCAGGCAAGAGACCAAGTAGTTAAGCAGTAATCGATGTGAGAGAAAATCATTGAATAGAAATAAGTTTTTGCAGCATTCATGTTTAAGTTATTCCTGATATGACGGAAGATCTGAATGTTAAACTGGATAACCTGGGATACTTTTTTAACATGACTTTTGAAGGATAGTGTTGAATCTAGGATTACTCCAAGGTATTTAAATTCTGAGACCAGATCAAGTTCAACTCCATTAAGAAAAACGTTTGATTGCTTCAAACGGTGTGACGTTTTGAGAAGTACATGCAGACAGTTTTTTTGGTGTTTAGCAGAAGGCACGAATCCTTGAGCCAGCTATGCACAGATGATAAGGCAACTGTGAGGTCCTCAGCAACTTGCTGAAAACTTCTGGCTTGAGTATAGATGACTGCATCATCCGCATACATCTGTGAAAATGTATTTGGACAAGCATTTGGCAGATTATTGATGAAGAGGGAGAATAACACAGGCCCAAGGATTGAGCCCTGTGGGACACCAACATCAGAATCCAACAAT